AACATGGAGTCTGTCTCCAAAGCCAAGGTACCGAAATATTTCTTTGTAGTACTTTTAACATAATCAAGTACTTATATTTTAACACAGAAATTTAAGTTACTTATACTTTAAAATAAATAGTTGCACTTTACAATTTGAATTTGACTTCATATATTCCACTATTAGTATAATAACATATTGTGCACTTTGGGTGATAACTAAACTTCACCAGAAGCACCTAACCTAAGAAAATACAAGGCCTCATTGCTTGATTGAGTATTACCATAGTAAAATGAAAGAGACTGACCTTATCAGTTTTTCAGTGTCTTTTAAAATAGAGATTATTTTTTCTTTCCCTTTTTATTCCAAATCTTCTTTTCAGCCCTTAAATACTTCAGTGACATAATCACAAAGTGCCGAAGAGAAATTTCATTTCCTCATGTTACATTGCCTCCTCATTCTTGTAATCAATTGAAAAAAATGACTGTACATTAAGAAGTTACAGAAATGTTGGAATTAGGGATGCAAAAAATATATCAGTTTGCTGAGACATTTTGACTTTACTTCTAAATCATTGGCTGCTATTTTTGCCCTTCATAAGACTTCAGATTCACAGCAATTTTGTGTTGAACCACCAATCGTCTTTCATTCTGGTCTTCATGTTAATAGGCAAATCTAGAGAAGATGTGTCGTTCCCTAGAAGATCAACTCAGCGAGATTAAAACAAAGGAGGAGGAACAACAGCGCACAATTAATGACATTAGTGCTCAGAGAGCTCGGCTACAAACTGAATCGGGTAAGACATTTGTGGTTTTTGAGAGAACACTGTATATGTTCTGGAGCTTTTTTTTTTAAAAAAAACGGTCAAGAAGATCTGGGGTCTTTGTAGAAATGAAGTGGAAGATGATCCAGAAATGTGCTCTTGGGACAAAGGCAGCCAACAGAATCCTGAGCTGCATTAGGAGAAGCGTTGCCAGCAGGTTAACAGAGCGTGATCCCTCTCCCTACTCAGCACCAGTGAGGCCACTCCTGGAGCGCTGTGTCCAGCGGTGGGCTCCTCAGTATCACAGAGATACAGATCCCAGAGCAGAGTCACTAGTCACACAACTAGTCACTGGATCAACCTCTCCAGGGCTGTTGTACAGACCCCATCACTCAAGTTTTAAAGACATTACTGGCAGGGTCCTAGATAATCTCATCTAGGCTCCCTTTCCCATGAAAGATGGGACTAGATGACCTTCCAAGAGGCCTTCAAACCTGGACTGTTCAATGACTCAAAGACTGGAGTCTCAAAGACGTATTCATCTATCTCATAAACTATATTTCATCATTTTGCTTCCCAGGAGACATTTAAGAGTGGACAGTGATATACCTGAGCACATACACCATATGGTACTCCTTCTGTAAGTTAGAGGCATGAAGTGGCCACTTGAATTAGTACTAACACAGAGTAAGACTAGTCAGATATTGGACAAGGGAGAATGGTGTATCTCATTTCTCATCTCTAAGAAAAATAGTTTGGCACAGCATGAAAGAAATAAAATTTTGTTTAAGCAAAAAAATTTTTATATTCATTGAAGTTATCATGGTTGACATTTTTAAATAAATCATAATAGGGTTTTCTAACTTACCTGAACTCTCCCAGGTGAGTACTCGCGCCAGGTTGAGGAGAAAGATGCTCTGATTTCTCAGCTGTCAAGAGGCAAGCAGGCATTCACCCAACAGATTGAGGAACTCAAGAGGCATCTAGAAGAAGAGATAAAGGTGAGAAGGCTTTATCATAAATGCATGAAATCTGAGAATCAAGAAGATGTGAGAAGGAAAAAAATCACTCAGTTAATTCAGTGCAAGTCTTCCCATAGTAGTTTTGCTCCCCCTTCCTTACAGTCTATCCATTAATTCCTTTGCAAATGCCCAGTTCTTCCCTTCTCATTAATTAGCTTCTCATTATAGCAGAATCATCTAATATCCAACATTTCAGTCAGAACATTTCTGAGGACACTTCCATTCATTGTCAAGCTGTTATTCTTCCCCCAGGCCAAGAACGCCCTGGCCCACGCCTTGCAGTCTGCTCGCCACGACTGTGACTTGCTGCGGGAGCAATATGAGGAGGAGCAGGAAGCCAAGTGGGAGCTGCAGCGCGCCCTGTCCAAGGCCAACAGCGAAGTGGCCCAGTGGAGAACCAAATATGAGACGGATGCCATTCAGCGCACGGAGGAGCTGGAGGAGGCCAAGTACGTGAGGAGTGTGGGGAAGGCTGGCAGAAAGAGTGGAAAGTTGAGGAGATCAACTGTGATACTGCCAGGAAGAAGTCAGTGTTCTGCTTTTTTGGGTGGGTATCCCGGAAGAGAGAAAATAGAACCAAGAGCAGACATGCATTGGGAAAATGCAGAAGCAGCAAAGATCCTCACGTGCAGAATAGTAAAGGGATTCTAGAGAGAACAGCAGAGGATGAATTCCTCTTGCCCAGGATTCAGACATAGAAATATAGTGGCTGGCTGGGAGAGGCCCTACACCTCTGTGTAAGTGGGGATCACACGCTACCAAGTGGCTTAGTGTGCTCTGGTGAAAAACACACTGGCTGCACACCACCAGCTCCCATTTGCTTCCTCACCTGGAGCTATGCTTGCCGCCTCCCAGGAAGAAGCTGGCACAGAGACTGC